TACCGATACTACAAACTCCTTCTTCTGCTGTTGGGTTTGTAGACGATACTAACATACTAACATGGTCAAGTACCATTTAAGAGAACTACAAGAAGTTAGAAGAACAGCACGGGATATGCGAGGCGTGGGCAGAAAACAACGGCGTGAAGTTTGCGCCAGAGAAGTACCAGCTCATTCACTTCATACGAGCAAGGAAGCGACACAACTTAGATGCGACTGTCAGCATACAAGGACATCTGACGTCTCCACAGTCTTCCCTTTGAGTCCTTGGTATATACTTCGACCCTAAGCTTCAATGGGGCTCCGACATAAAGCATATTGTACAAAAGTCACAAACCTAAGTACAGTTGATAAGTAGATTGACGCAATCAACTTGGGGTGCAACATTCAAGAAGTCAAAGCTTTTGTACAGCACGATTGTGAGACCAGCCCTGACTTAAGGGCGTTCAATTTGGGCTGCAGCTGGGCCAACGGGTAGAATACCAGAAAGGATAGTCAAACCATTGCGAAGTATCTAAAATAAATGCTTGAAGCTAGTCACAGGGGCATATAATTCTACCAGCAGTAGAGTTTTAGACCACAAATGCTCAATCCTTCCACTGGACATCTACCTCAAACAAATGAGAGTCCAACATATCGGACTTTCGGAAGGACAACCTATCAAGCAGACGCTTCTATCCGCATGTAGTAAAATATAGCAGGCTTATAGCCTGAGCGAAAATAGCCACGCTAAAAATCGAAGCCGAGACACTAGCGAGTGGAATAAAATCTGCAGGAACGAAAATGTGAGGCGTAGACAAAAAGAAGCGGGTAAGATAGTAGCATTCCAGGAGTGGGAAAGCGCATGGAAAATTTTTAAGAGCGATGATCTTCTCACCAGGCGTCGGCAGACCTAGAACATTGGAAAGCAGCAAGTATAAACACCGACAAGAGAACAGGCAGAAAAAGAATCATCTACAGAATCACAACCTCTAACATCCACCGAAACCTGAGCAGGGCCCAAAGTAGTATTACAATACAGATGAGAAGTGAGCATATCGGCCTCAACTCTTATTTTCATAGAAGAAAGGTCCCTGAAGTGGAAAATCCAAAGTGCCAGTGTGAATATCCGTCACAAAATGTGAAACATATGGTCATGACTTGTCCTCAGTGGGCTAAGGGAAGAGGAGAGGCGCTGCAACGGGCAAAAGATAGGTCCTTCGAAGCTATGATGAATAGTCCGGTGTTATGAAGAGAATTATAGAGTGGATACTTACTAACGGCTGGCTTGAACAGTTCCGGCTTGCGGAAGAAGTTGAGGCAGCAGACAGTGAAAGGATTGAGCGATCGGGTAAGGATAGAATGTTATTCACACTGGATGAACAGTGTAAACGCAATTCCTGTCGGACACCTCGGAAAACCAATAGATACGAGACAGACAGTTTTGGGGGGCTTTTACCGAGCTGGTTTTCACTATTGTAAATATGATAACTGTTAAATTATAAGAAGGTTTGGTCAAACATAATCATCCCTACAATTTAACATAATGGAGTTAGGGTTGTGGTTATTGGTTGCCTAGGAGTTAAAAATGGTAAGGCGTCTGTTGATTTTACATACCCTGTATTAGTAGTTTCATATTAGCATGTGGATGAGACTAGGAGCGATACATTAGAGGGTGCGAGATCGCGATACTTCTATTAAGCGCGTAGAGGTAGAGACGAAGACACACGCAACGATTTAACCCTATACTTTATCAAATCTACTTCCAAATATTCCAGTAACAGTACTACTGTATTACCCGTCCAGAGGAATCATATTCTAACAATAACTAGATATACCTGCATGGCCCCATAGGGTACTTGATCGGGCTAAATGAAATCAATTTCAAAAAAGCATTTGCATTATTTGCCACACATTCTCCCGATTCAAATCTATATTGTTATGTTCGTAAATAGGATTTCTATTCTTTAAGCCACCTTACTCATCGGACTCGGGGGACTACTCTCAACACCTGTCAGTGGTGTCCCCTACAAACCTCCAGCTCTCATTGTAGAGTCTGCAGAGCCGAGATTGAGTAACAAAGTCTTCACTTCAATGAGGATTCCCAATCGCTTTCGCGGTCTGTGTCGTCTTCATCTCTCAACACATTCCCCTATCACCATTATCATGGAGGAAAAGCTATCCGATGAGTTTCCGGAGCGTACCCAGCACCAGATACGGAGATGGTGGTTTGGTTCAAGTCGACCTCGACTGTTACAAAGAGGGGAGATATAGATGAATATACGCACCTCATGTGGTCCCGGTGTCCAGGCCTCGCCTGGCTGGGGCTGCAGGCTTTTTGAGACTTTTTCCCGCGCACGCAGTTTCCATTGCTACCTTTTTATTTTTTTTGGGTAGAAGGTTCCGTGGAAAAGGTGGCTGAATTCCACGGGTAAACACTGAGCTGAATGGCTATTCATCAGGGGGAATACATCAATAATCTTTCAGGTAGTAAAAGAGGATAGGAGCACTGTACAAGGTGTGGCCTGGGTCAGAGAGGAGCTCATTGTGTTAGATAGTCATAGACTCAAGTAGCACAATAAACAAAAACACACATACTCATCGAACTCATACTAGTTTTCCAACAACAGGTCATGTGGCTCGAGCCACAGGGGTTTCTATAATTATTCCCTCGGACCAAGATTCCATTACTATTATTTTTTTTTGGGGGGGGGGGGGGGGGGGGAGATTTCGTGGAAAAGATGGCTACCCATCACAAATTCAGTTTCAAAGTTCTTTTTTTAGAGCAAAAGACGATAAGAGAACTATGCCAATTGCGGCCTGGTGTGAAGGGTTTAAGGAATTCAGAAGTTCTTGAGGTCGTTTTTTTTTTTTTCATTGTGTATGCAGCTCTAGAGATATGACACTTCTATCTAATTAAATGTTCTAAATTACAATTGTCTTTCATCAGGTACATTTTTCTTAAGTTTTTTATTCATTTTATATCCATTTGTGCAAATTATGTCACTTCATTCTAGGCACACCCTCTCGTGTATTCCTACATGAAATTAAGCTGTCCCCTATTTTCGTTAAATTAATACAGTTACTTGATTTAATAAATTTTAATAGCTTTTCTCTCCCACCCTTGGTATTTAATAGCAAACTGAGGCTGCGTGGCACAACATCTGAGAGCTCTTCTTTTCTTTGGGCTTTGAATTTTGGGCACTGAAATATAAGGTGGTGGCAGACTTGAAGTCGTTAACGCAATGAAAATGGATAATTTATCCCTTAGGAAGCTAAACTACCGTATTGTATCCTGTCCTTTATATCTTCCGCATACGCTAGTATTAACTCCCCCTTTGCCGGCAAAGACGAATTCTTCACCTTCCAGTGGTGCCAGTGTAATCGCTCAGTATGCTCTGCATATCTGGGATAGCCAAGAAGAATCGCATCCGAATCGAAATCGAAAGCAACCTCATACACGTCTCCACTTAACAACTTCTCGACAATGCCTCTCTCATCATTATCATCTGAGTCCTCAACCTTTCCCAAACCACGCATCATCTCGTCTCGAAGACTAATGAAAAAGTTGCTCCAATCGCATAAAGGAGCTTGCCCCATTAATCTCCAGTCATCACTCACTACATATTTACGACGCTATTTATACCTGCAAGAAGGAAATCAAGTCGAAAAATACAAAGCCTGGGTCATGGCTTATGGAGGACTGTTGCTCTAATGGGATAAACAACTTGAGGAAGAACAGGCGGCTGAGATGTGGAGCGAGAGGGGGAACAAGTCTCTGAAGACCATGCTGGGAACGATATTTTTCGAGGAGGTTTCAACTTGGGATCTTTTGTGGGCGCCAAGACCGAGATTTGGGCTAATCAGCCAGGAGGGCTTCTTTTGTCGATGAGTCAACGGCTCTCCCCAGCGCCCTGGACGGTACAAAAGAAGTTGGGCTAAGCTGCCATACAGCAATCACGCTCCGTCAAGACTTTTCTGACATTTCAGCACGACCTTCGGGATGGAGTTGGAAGGAGGCTAGAAAGGCAGAGTGTGAATTCTCCGAGGTACCCACAAGTTTGCAGCGCCCAGCTGGCCGGCCTCTTCGAACGCTTCGGAAGGGTCACTATGTCTTCGGATTTAGTCCTAATGTCGGTATTAGGAGAGCTCCGCATCCAGAGGTTTTTTGCGATTTTTTCCCGGCTGTCATACACCCGCAAATGGCCATCGTTTCGTTGGCTGGATAGGGGAGATAATGAAGGGCTAAGGGCTCCTCTCAGTGTATGATCGAATGAGGACTTGTGAGGGGTGATACTGTTTGAGGGGAGCTGTATGGGAGGCATATGAGGGGATACACTACTGGTATAGGTATCCTTGGCCTGTAGGCAGAGAGGACCTGCATGTCCTACATAGTCATAGACTCAGACAGGATAATAAAATAAACTCCCCCCTTTGGCCATATGAGAATCATCTTTTCTCCCGGCACAACTCTTCTCCTGTATCATACTCCCCATCTGGTACGTACCCCCTTTGATACCCCCTTAGCGCCCCTTTCGTCTATCCAGGAGCGTTATCTGCCACCACCTTACATCGGAGACGGAGTGGTCCTAGTGACCAGTCCCAATCCGGGCAAAGCCAGTCACACCTGGGCCAGTTAGTAGACTATTGTGCCAGATAATTAGTGACTCAAGTGCCAGAATGTCGAAGCGCAACTCTGATCAGGTTGTATTACTGAAAATCCTTAGTATTATATTAATAGATAACCTTACGGCTAGAGTAGATTTACAAGGGACCCTAGTTAGGGCATATATTACATAAATCATCAAGTGGCCTATAAGCTGAAGAATGAGCCTTCAATACATAAAAACCAACCAGCGAATAGGCCGTGGTTTCATGTCATCCAGGTAAAAGCCCAAGCTATCTCATCGGATACTCAGACTTCTCATGGTGCAATTATCGTAGCTATAGGATATCATAAGTCATCTTCCATCTGATATCTCTACTCAGACTACTTCATAAAAATGCCTAGTAATTTGGATTTATTTTAGCCGAGTTTCCATCCATTGCTTCACAGCTTCAGATTCTGCCTCATCATCGTCGTCAATTTCATGCATTTGGATGTCACCATTGTTTACCATTTGATCGTTATTGTCTATTTTGAAGCCTGATTGACGTTTAATGAGGTTTACCATTATTTTTGATTGGCGCATTGTATTTATCTCCATCGACGTCTCTTGAAAGTCTTTTATTTCTTCTGTTGGATCCTGATTATTTGATTTTATCCTCTGATTATTTGAGAGAATAAGTACACTGGGAATCTCTAACCAAGGGGATGCTTGAGGGTAGAATAAATATGCACGCTTATATGCAAGTTCGAAGTTCGACACTTTATAAGGAAACTTTGGCTTTGGCGGGTCGAAATCCTCGAAACCGAACCAATATCTAGAATTCAAGCGGTCTGGGAGTTTCGACCTGACTTCATCTTTTGATGGATTATTTTTGCTTCTCTCACCTTCTGAGGAGAGTGGGTATGATGATTTATAACTCTCAGTCCAATTACAGGGAGGAGGCACTCCTGCCGTGCGAAAAAATAGCATAGGGGATGCAAAGGCGTCAAAGCACCTATTCGGTTTTGTAAAAAGTTTTTTCCTCAATCTAATTAAGTCGGATTCATTCCATGTGTATTGGCTATTTTGAGGGGTCTTGGGGAGAGTTCTTGGGATAGATCGAGAAAAAGCGTCAGTAACAATGCTTACCCAATCAAAGACTGCGTTTTTGGCAATTAATCCACGGATTCGAAAGGGGTTCTCTCTCAATACATAATTCTCAGTTAAAGCCAACGATGTTGCAAGGGTACCTCCAAGAAACGTGCCATAGATGAAAACTGGTCTCTGAACTGGATAGCCTGTTTTTACCGGAAGATGTGAGGCGTCTAATTCACTTGTTTGGGCTATAGGTTCTGCGGATAGTTCAAATGACTGATAAGATGAGACAAGCCTTTCAGTGATGTGCGACCAGCCTCGAACGGTATCATGAAGTGGCACTGGGAAAGGGTGGTTATCAGATGCGCCCAATGAATAAGCGCTAGGAATATTCCATCGGTAGTTGATCCGAGCCAGGACTGTGGAAGAGGACAGAAGATAAGAAGGTATTGGCGGTTGATGCTTTGAGTGGCGAATACCAGTTGGTGGTAAATAAACAACGAGCGGTGCCGTTGGATCTTCCCGAAGGAGTTGCTGATTGAAGAAACTAAGGCACTATTAGCATGTCACGAATCACATGATTACTCGAAATAGAGTTATGTCGCATAGACTTTGTTTGCGGACATTAGCGTTTTACAGTTTTGATGCAACTCACTCAATAATTATGTGCCCCGAAACACCACAATCTATTCGCACCGTTGTCCAGCATCTGGACTGATCGGACAAGGTTGAGAAAAAATTAGAAAAAAGACTTGAACGTTGACAGAGCCGCAGTAGGCCGAGCTTCGTCGCCACCCGAACCGGACCCCATCTTGACCGAATGCACAGAGCATTCATATAAAATATTTCCTGAGAGACACGTCTTTCTATTAAATAGACGAATAGATAAAGGATTCGAATTGGAGCAAATGTCTGTAGACTAAAATCGCGTCCTTAATCGCGAAGCCGATTATGGATTGGTCACGCTATTAGCCAGGGTCTAGGCTATTATCTGATGAGAGAAAAAATTGGAGCTAGAACGGGAACAACCGATCATTCACTAACACGTGAGTCGATCCGTAGTTGCCAAGCACCCCTTTATCCCCCTGCACTACTGGTTTATCCAACTTATGCCTCCAACATCCAATTAGCACGTTTCCAATTTACTACCTCCTTCCATAGGCCTTTTTAGACAACTCAATTCAATCTTGTGCAATATAAATCCCTCCTTAGTTCATCCATCTGTAATACCATTATCTTAGCTGCAATATTGAGTGTTTTTCTCAAGATATCCTTTAATTGTACCCAACCGAGCCAACTCACGCTGCTACACACAGCCCTTGATTTAACTTTAAATTCAGCAACTCTCTTAAGACCCGTCACAGCACCTTGAGGACTTCTAAAAATTGCGATCAACCTATCCTAATATTACTGAATCTTTTCAAAAATAAACTAATATCCATTTATGGCGTTCTGCGGGCGGTAACAACTAACAAGTTCTTGCCACGGTAGTCAGGGACAAAGACGTTATATTAAGAAGAGAAATCACCATGGTCAGTAAAAATCGCGGAAGGAACCTATACGCCGTCCTCCAAAGTATATTCCTTGCGACAATACTATATTTCATTCTTTATTTTGCCGCATTGGTGCTTCAACGAGGATCGCTTCCAAGAACAACAAACGATTTCTATAGCAATCCGTCAATACCTGGAATCGAGCAACTTGCTGCTGACAACCGTGAGCATAGCAATGACGTACTTCCTAACTATATACAGCTCGATAAGATCATTATCAATGCCAATTGGTTCAACAGACCTGAAAGTTCGGTTGTGATTCGGGATGACTACATGGGAAAGAGGCCTCACGTTGACACTGTTGCTAATCTTACCAAGCTAGTCCATGAGTGTAGGGGATCCTATGAAAATATTGAACGAATGCCATACGTGTATGACTGTTTAAAATACCTTCAAACTGGCGAAAAAGAATACTTTTATTTACCTCCTTCCGGCGAGAGAGCAAGCGAGCAACCTCCTTCCCAAGCTGAGTATCTAAACTCTGATGGTCAAAATAATACCCTACCGCGCTACCCGTCTTACAGGGAAGTGACCAAAGACTCAATAGGGCAGTGCAATGGTCCGATAATCCCATATCATGTCTACTGGACTGGCCCAGCCTCATGGCGGGTAGAACTTTTCATAAAATCGTATCTTTACACCCAAAATATACCTTGCTCTCGATTATGGATTTGGTTAGATGGAGATCGAGACCCTGAGTCTGTTGATAAAATGCTACACCATGACCCAATTTTTTCTAAATTTATATCATTTGTCAAACGGGGCGATATTGTTCTCAAGACCTGGCGATTTCCCTCGAGAATCCCGCTACCTCGTGGAGACAATACTGATGGAGCTGGATACTATAAAACACCTGGGAAGCCTAATCCCATGAATGAAACAACCGTAGCTGAGGGGCTGATTCGAGACGCAAATAACCAAGAGTGGCTGGTACTTACGGAGAAGCAGATGAACTTCCTCCCAGTCGCCGTCTCTGATGCGGTCAGATTTGTTGTCTTGCACATTTATGGCGGCGCCTACTTTGACATGGACGTGATCATGCTGCGAGATATGCGGCCGCTATTGATTGCTGAAGATCATGGATTTGCTGAACGCTGGGGAGGACATGCATCTCCAGGAGACTATAACACAGCAATCATGTCGTTATCCGCAAACTCCTCTTTATCCTCCTATCTCTTACGAGGAGGTGTTAGGATGGGCCTAAATTTCCATCCCCGTGTTATTGGCGTAATGGCTGTAAAGGATCGCCGTAACCATGAGCTTCACATGTTGGAAACAGCCTTTTTTGATCCCATCTGGACAGAATTTAACTGGGGACGCCTTGGCCCATGTACTGTACCTTGCTTTCATGATTACGGACAAATATTCAAGGGTGGAAAAGCAGCATTTCCACTCAAAGATGAATGGGAAGCCTACGCTGGTGAGCAACTTAAGTCTGTAAAAAATAAGGAGAAGAACCACTGGAAAATACCCGATGATGGAGGACTAGGAATGTCGAAGATACCAGGTGAAGAGGACTTGCCTGTGGTTGACAAAAGTACCTTGGAAAAGGCGGAATATATAATCGGACAAGATACTTACCCACCATCTAATCGTACCCTAGAGAACTTTTTTCGCGGTGCTTGGACCTATCATGTACACAATCAGGTTTGTTTATCTCATACAACATAACTTATATAAAAAGTGATCTAACAGTGTCATTTTACTAGTGGACTAAGAAACCTGAACCGTCTAGTTGGCTTAATGTTTTACAGCGCGCTCAAGACGGATTTTTTCTACATGATCGCAAGAATCCTTATGGAGAAAAGTGGACCGGTCCTGAACTTACAGAGTATGAGGTTAGTTGGGAATATATTTGAGCGGATAAATCAAACAAGCTTCTCATGTCAAACGCAACTTGAGAGTTGGCGAACAGGTAATTTTAATAAACTAGCTCGTACGTTTTGGTACATGAAAAGATGGTCTTCATACCTCTGGCTGCCCAAAATTTTGTCAGAATAGGCAGACATTTGTCGGCTTCATATGTATTCAGAACTCGACGGGATCACACAGGACCGTGGTAGGTACTCCTCATGAAACAATCCTTTGATATTTTTAATTTTTATTGCTGCTCTGATAGCTGATATTATGACTAGACCGAATTCTTCAATTTTTAATAGACTTTCTGCGTCTCTCAAAATAGCGGCAGCAGGATGTTTTGGATCACATCAAAATGATAGTCCAGCACAAAGCGTAATGAAAAAATCCTTTTAATGTTCAAACACACGTACTTGATAATTTGGGAAAAATCAATGACAATTTAATTGGGTTCTGTTTTAGAAGCGAGTATGCCTGGACTTTGACCGTAAGTTTATTCAGGAAAGCCGGCTAATAAGTGGAATGGTAACACGTAAAACCATCACTACATTTGAAGTATTCTATGCAGTCATGACCACAAGCTTTTGTAATTTATATTTAGAGCGCAATCATCTAAGCATCAATTTCGACTACCAGATGAAATGTAAAAGCAGTAAAAATTGATTTGATTCTGTCAAATATTATCTCATTAAAACTGGACAAGGTTCTCAATGATGGCTCATATACTTCGTAACAAAAAATACACCTACTCATAAGTTGTTAGCAGGGCAGTAAGGTGTAAAACGGAGATATGTAGAAGCCATGATGTTGTATTTTGCAGACGAGGGGTAAAGTGTCTTTTGGCTGACTAACGTGGAAGACAATTGGAGCCTTCCTCACTCCTTTGGGAGCTTAAGCACGAGTGGAAATGGGCGGTATCAGGTTACCTACCATATAGGTACAATAAACCTCAACTCACCTGAATGAATGAACCGCCTCAGACTCCTTCCACACGTTGATCATGTCAAGTCCAACCGTCTAGAGAATCCGATTGTAGCACACCGAAGCGCAATTCACTTCTCGGACTCGATCACCACGCGCCTGTGCCCTTGACACCCTCCCAATCTCTTATATTTCTTTTCCAATCGGTCTTAGTCAGGCCTCATCCCAGCATCTCTTCATCTCATCCAGGAGTCGTTTTTAATATTAGAGACCTCGCCGAATCGCTCGCCGAGACCTTGTCAATCTTTGTTCATTTTTCGTCCTCTATTAGAGCTACCAATCCACCTATTAATCGTGATCGTAACATCAGAATCTTTGTCAATTTTCCATGCCTCCGGCCTTGCCCCGTCGCAGCTATACCCCTAAGCGCAGAAGCCGACTATGGGTCGAAGAGCTCAAGATCGATGCATTGATGCATGAGTCTTCTTCGAATGATTTAGATGATGTGCTGGTGAAATGTCATGCGTTTTCGTCTCAGATCGGGCTGTCAGTGCCCTCGATCGAGGTGCAGTTGAATTTAAGCACGGTACTTTGACCGTACCTTCACAACGCACGATAGTTCCGACGAGATGGACGTTCACTTGTAGCTGTGATTGGCTAACACCAAAACAATAAGAACAAAGTAGGCTGGCCGTAATACAGTCTATTTTCTAATTATCTCGGGAATGGTATCTATCTAGACTGTAGGACATATAAACTTGTAGCTCTGACCCCAGGGAGGTTAATATCCATCGGATCGGTGATCATCTGCATTCTTGAGGTGATCTATCGACGATTCGTATTTTTCGGATCGGCGATCACTTACAATCTCATAAAAGAACATCGGCGATTAGTTGATAGATAGGCACAGGTACATGAATATGGATATAAGGCGCAGCCTGTAACAGTAGCTTAGACACCAAGTAAGACTTTCGAATTTGGGAGTGCTTCGGTAGAAGGTAAGATGATAAGGTAGAGGGTCGCGAGAAGAATTAGCGAGGAAAGATCTTCCAGGAAAATTAGAGATAGTGAGTGTAGTCAGTTGTTTTATCCTATCTGCGGTTCATAGCTAGGGTAAAGGTGGTTAAATTCCTTGTGTTATGCGGTCGTGAAATGCCTGCAGATCGGAATTTTGTCCATGATCTTGCCAAACCCACTCCTCCCGACCAACATCTCGAGGAAAACTCTAGTCACCATCGGGCACGCTTGCCATCGCGAATTTGCCGCGGTGGCCCGTGCGCAAACAGCCGCTCGTCGAGCAGGGGCGCTATGTTAGCAGCCGCTGAGACGGCCAGAATATCTCCACTAAACTTCAGCTTTAACAATAGATAAGAGGTTCTAGTGATAGATGAAACGCCAAATGTAACTGAGGTCACAAAGACGATCATCCCGAATAATCTCTCATGAAGGGCGCCACACAGGCCCCTTTCCACCTCCATCCCACTCGAAGTTTTTTTTTGCGTCAGATTCTAATTGCGTATGCAGCTATCTAGCTATGACATTATCTTTGAGAAAAAGTACAGATTAGATGATTAAATTCATTATTATTATTCATTTTATTGTCCTGTCTGAGTCTATGACCATGTAGGACATGCAGGTCCTCTCTGCCTACAGGCCAAGGATACCTATACCAGTAGTGTATCCCCTCATATGCCTCCCATACAGCTCCCCTCAAACAGTATCACCCCTCACAAGTCCTCATTAGATCATACACTGAGAGGAGCCCTTAGCCCTTCATTATCTCCCCTATCCAGCCAACGAAACGATGGCCATTTGCGGGTGTATGACAGCCGGGAAAAAATCGCAAAAAACCTCTGGATGCGGAGCTCTCCTAATACCGACATTAGGACTAAATCCGAAGACATAGCGACCCTTCCGAAGCGTTCGAAGAGGCCGGCCAGCTGGGTGCTGTAGACTTGTGTTTGTGTGTTTGTGTTTATTGTACTACTTGAGTCTATGACTATCTAGCACATTGGGCTCCTCTCTGACCCAGGCCACACCTTGTACAGTGCTCCTATCCTCTTTTATTGCTTGTGAGATCATTGATGTATTGCCGGTGATGAATAGCCATTCAGCTCAGTGTTTACCCGTGGAATTCGGCCACCTTTTCCACGGAACCTTCGACCCAAAGAAAAAAAAAAGTGCAGACTTGTGTGTATCTAGGGGAATTTACACTCTGCCTTTCTATTCTCCTTCCGACTTCTTTCCAAAGGTCAAGCTGAAATGTCAGAAAAGTCTTGACAGAGCGCGGTTGCTGTATGATAGCTTAGCCCAACTTATTTTGTACCGTCCAGGGCTTTGGGGAGAGCCGTTGACTCATCGACAATTGAAGTCCTATCAAATTAACCGAGATCTAGATTTTGGCACCCGCAAACGATCCATAGTTGAAAATCCCTCGAAAAATATCAGTTCCAGCATGGTCTTCAGAGATCCCATCCCCCCATTGCTCCACATATTAGCCGCCTGTTCTTCCTCAAGTTGTTTGTCCCATTAGAGCAACGGTCCCCTATAAACCATGACCTAGGCTTTGTATTTTTCGACTTGGTTTCCTTGCGGGTATAAATAGCGTCGTTAGTATGTAGTGAGAAACGGCTGGAAAATTAATGAGGCAAGCTCCCGTTTGCAATTGGAGCAACTTCTTTAATAGTCTTGCAGGCGAGATAATTCGAGGTTAGAAAGAGGTTGAGGACTCAGATGAGAATTGTGAGAGCGGCATTGTCAAGAAGTCGTCCAATGGAAATATGCAGATGTTTGCTTTAGACTTCGATTCGGATGCGATTCTTCTTGGCTATCCCAGATATGCAGAGCATACTGACCAATTACACCGGCACCACTGGAAGATGAAGAATTCGTCTTTGACGGCGGTGATTTAATTTAGTATAAGAACTCTAATGCCTCTGATTTCGTTTGAAAACACCGCTGCGAAGTTATGGTGGCTTTTTCTTCATCCCAAGTCAATCCTCATCCGTGGATACCCACCCAAGGTAACTTCTCAAAAACCCTGGGTTAACTAGACATGCCTCCATCATCCGTTGACATTTCTCTGCGCCAAATATGGTCTTTGGTGTCTCCTTCCCAAGTAAAGTAGGTGCCCAGGCTACTCAAACCATACCAGAGAACACCACCAGGAGGCGGATCACGACACCTTCCATCGTTTGCGGGGGACTATTCACAACACCTATCAGTGGTGTCCTCTAAGAACCTGAGTATGAAATATTCTCTCAGAGCCGAGTTCAGTCAAATTTCGGGGGACTATTCTCAACACCTGTCAGTGATGTCTCCTACGAACCTCCGGCTCTCACTGTAGAGTCTACATATCAGAGATTGAGTACCAAAGTCCTCACTTCGACGAGGATTCCCAATCGCTTTCGCCGTCTGCATCGTCTTCATCCCTTAACACATCCCCCCATCACCACCATCATGAAGCTAACGACGATCAGATCAGATGGTAGGGTCGAAGCACTTCTCATCACCAACACTTGATCATGGAGGAAAAGCCATCCGATGAGTTTCCAGAGCGTACTCAGCACCCGATACGGAGATAGTGGTTTGGATCAAGTCGACCTCGACTGTTACAAAGAGTGGAGATATAGATGAATATGCGCACCTCATGTGGTCCCGGTGTCTAGGCCTCGCCTAGCTGGGGCTGCAGGTTTTTTGAGACTTGTTCCCGGGCACGCAGTTTCAATTGCTACCATTGTTTTTGGGTAGAAAGTCCTGTGGAAAAGGTGGCCAAATTCCATGGTTAAATACTGAGCTGAATGGCTATTCATCACCGGCAATACATCAATGACCTCACAAGCAATAAAAGAGGATAGGAGCACTGTACAAGGTGTGGCCTGGGTCAGAGAGGAGCCCAATGTGCTAGATAGTCATAGACTCAAGTAGTACAATAAAAACATCATGTCTCTCTCTCTACAAACGTTGCCTTGTGTTAATAATGTTAGCTGCTTTCTCGCAAGCGAAGTCTTGGCGTGCACAAAGCTCAATCCGTAAAAATCCATGCCAAAATTAGAAATCTCAAATTCATCAAGATAGGATC